CCAGGTGAGCTCACCTGTGCTCACCTGTACAGGGTTAATGACACACCTGTATGGGATTAATGGCTCACCTGTACACGTAGTGTGAGCTACCAGAGCAACCTGAGCGGTGATCGAGGTGGACAAAACACCCCTGAACGTCGCCCAGGTGAGCTCACCTGTGCACACCTGTATGGGATTAATGGTGCACGTGTAATACACCTGTGTGGGGTTAATGACACACCTGTATGCACAATATAACTTATCGCAGCAACCCTGAATGGTGAGCCAGGTGCACAAAACACCCCTGAATGTCAGCCAGGTGAGCTCACCTGTCCCTGAATGTCAGCCAGGTGAGCTCACCTGTGCACACCTGTATGGGATCGATGGTATACACCTGTATGGGATTAGTGACACACCTGTGTGTGAATCAGGGTGTAGTGCAGGTGATCCAGGTGCATGAAACGCTCTTGAATGTCTCCCAGGTGAGCTCACCTGCCTCACCTGTGTTACACCTGTATGGGATTAATGGCACACCTGTACGCCAATCAGGCCGTAGCACAGCAATCCGACAGGTGATCCAGGTGCACAAAACACCCCTGAATGTCAGCCAGGTGAGCTCACCTGTGCACACCTGTACGGGGTTAATGACACACCTGTATGGGATCAATGACACACCTGTACACACAACATAATGGATCACAGCAACCCAACAGGTGACCCAGGTGCACAAAACACCCCTGAATGTCAGCCAGGTGAGCTCACCTGTGCTCACCTGTATGGGATTAATGGTGCACCTGTATGGGATTAGTGACACACCTGTACACACAACATAATGGATCACAGCAACCCAACAGGTGACCCAGGTGCACAAAACACCCCTCACCTGTACAATAACTCATCACAGCAAGCTGACAGGTGATGCAGGTGCACAAAACACTCTTAAATGTCACCCAGGTGAGCTCACCTGTGTCTGAATGTCACCCAGGTGATCTCACCTGTCCCACCTGTCCCACCTGCGCAGGGCCGGCTGATCCCGGGCGCGTACAAGTTCGACGCGCTGATCACGACGTTCGAGATGATCCTGTCGGACTGCCCCGAGCTGCGCGAGGTGCAGTGGCGCTGCGTGGTCATCGACGAGGCGCACCGCCTCAAGAACCGCCACTGCAAGCTGCTGGACAGCCTCAAGCACATGGAGCTGGTCAGTGACACCTGGGCGCACCTGGGCACACCTGGGCACACCTGGGCGCACCTGGGGTCACACACAGGTACATACAGGTACACACAGGTACACACCTGGGGTCAGGCAGCGCCTCAAGAACCGCCACTGCAAGCTGCTGGACAGCCTCAAGCACATGGAGCTGGTCAGTGCCTCACCTGGGCGCACCTGGGCGCACCTGGGGACACACACAGGTACATACAGGTACACACAGGTACACAGCTGGGGTCAGGCAGCGCCTCAAGAACCGCCACTGCAAGCTGCTGGACAGCCTCAAGCACATGGAGCTGGTCAGTGACACCTGGGCGCACCTGGGCACACCTGGGCACACCTGGGGTCACATACAGGTACATACAGGTACACACCTGGGGTCAGGCAGCGCCTCAAGAACCGCCATTGCAAGCTGCTGGACAGCCTCAAGCACATGGAGCTGGTCAGTGCCTCACCTGGGCGCACCTGGGCGCACCTGGGCACACCTGGGATCCCGTAGAGACACACAGTGACACACCTGGGGTCACACCTGCGGGGTTTGGGGTCACACAAGGATTCAGAATTCTTTGTGTCAAGGTGTGTCACCTGTTCTATCTGTCACTGCTGTCACCTGTCTTTTACCTGTGCCTTACCTGTGTCACCTGTGTTACCTGTATCTCACCTGTGTCACCTGTTTTACCTGATTTTACCCATTTTTGTCATTACCTGTGTTACCTGTCTCTCACCTGTCTCACCTGCCTCACCTGTATCTCACCTTTAGGAGCACAAGGTGCTGCTGACGGGCACGCCCCTGCAGAACACGGTCGAGGAGCTCTGCAGCCTCACCTGTGTCACCTGTTTTACCTGTTTTACCTGTTCTAACCCATTTTTCTCTCATTATTTCTGTTACGTGTCTCACCTGTCCTTATCTGTCTCGCCTTTAGGAGCACAAGGTGCTGCTGACGGGCACGCCCCTGCAGAACACGGTCGAGGAGCTCTGCAGCCTCACCTGTCCCATGTGTTTTACCTGTATCTCACCTGTTTTACCTGTTCTAACCCATTTTTCTCTCATTATTTCTGTTACCTGTCTCACCTGTCTCACCTGTCTCACCTTTAGGAGCACAAGGTGCTGCTGACGGGCACACCTGTGCAGAACACGGTCGAGGAGCTCTGCAGCCTCACCTGTCCTTTAGGAGCACAAGGTGCTGCTGACGGGCACGCCGTTACAGAACACGGTCGAGGAGCTCTTCAGCCTCCTGCACTTCCTGGAGCCGTCGCAGTTCCCGTCCGAGGCCGAGTTCCTCAAGGACTTCGGCGACCTCAAGACCGAGGAGCAGGTGAGGGGCGCACCTGGGCACACCTGGGCACCACACCTGGGGAGGGTTTGGGGGGTTTGAGGTCATTGGATGGTTCCTAGGAGGAGTTAGAGGCTTACCTGGGCACACCTGAGCACACCTGGGCACACCTTGGAGCACCTGGGTGCACCTGGGCACCGCACCTGGGCACACCTGGGCGCACCTGGGCACACCTGGGGGTGGTTTGGGAGGGTTTTGGGACCATTTCAGGTGGTGTCGTGGTCTTAGCAAGGAGTTTGGGGCTCACCTGGGCACACCTGAGCCCCCTGAAGCAGAGCCAAAACACACCTGGGCACACCTGGGCATCGCGGGGTTTGAGGTCATTGGATGGTTCCTAGGAGGAGTTAGAGGCTTACCTGGGCACACCTGAGCACACCTGGGCACACCTTGGAGCACCTGGGTGCACCTGGGCACCGCACCTGGGCACACCTGGGCGCACCTGGGCACACCTGGGGGTGGTTTGGGAGGGTTTTGGGACCATTTCAGGTGGTGTCGTGGTCTTAGCAAGGAGTTTGGGGCTCACCTGGGCACACCTGAGCCCCCTGAAGCAGAGCCAAAACACACCTGGGCACACCTGGGCATCGCACCTGGTGTACCTGGGCACACCTGGGGAGGGTTTGGGAGGGTTGGGAGGGGTTTGAGGTCGTTTGATGGGCCTTGAGAGGAGTTTGGGGCTCA